CGAGTATATGCAGAGGTATGCGTTGAGAAAAAGCTTGGTGCTCTATACAGTATGTGCAGAAATGCAGTGCGGAAGAAGAAAGGAAGCAGGATCTGATGGTGAGAGAGAGAGGGGGGAAAATAGAGAGGAATTGGAAGTCAAACGGGGGTCTGAAGCTTGGCTTACCACTAACCCATGCATCCTTATTAAAGGCATACTAAGGTGACTGCATGTAATTTAAAAGTATCCAGCTAAAGCACTGTTAATGAACCCAGACATGGGCGTGCATATAGCAGTGCCTGCCTTTAGACAGGTGCTCCATACATAGTCCAGTTGGCAGAGTGCCAGAGCGAGGGGCTAAGGCAGAGTTACTAACAGTAGGATAGGGCCTTTATTATGTTATGATGGAGGGAGGAGACCATCAGACAGGATAGAGATATGGGCTTTCCTTTCCAGATTAATTAAAGAAAGGATCAATTAACAGTGATGAAAACCACAGCGGCACACTGACTAGCTGATAGTCCAATCAAGCCTTGAAATGCAGAGCAGTTGGCATGTTTTATCTCTCCCAACTTAATTGCAATTTTCCAGAGAGAATGATGCGATCAAAATGACGGGGTGTAATTAGCATCATATGAATAAAGTATTTACACCGTCTTGCACCAAACAGTTGCATTTGTTCATCTGTGGTTTCTGGATGAAGTGTGTCCAGCTCCACTCCATATGCACGCAGGAGAAAAGATTATGCCGCGCAAACAGAGGCTCTTCATTTTGCAATTTATTCACCTCCTCCTCTCTCTTTATGCTCACCTTTATCATGGAAATTCTGAACAGAGCTGTGCTATTAAGAACATCAGCATTAGCTTTTGCTGAGTTGCAAAATGTCTTAGCCGAGGACAATTTGTCCCTCACTACCCAATCATACCAGATGCATGTGGTTATACAATATGGATAATACATTTAGATTCATAATACTCACTATACTACTTAATAATAGATATTAGGGAAATTATGACCTTGCAATTGTCAAAAAGATTAAACAGATTTTAACTGGACTGGTTAAACGGGTGTGGGCAGAAAGATTAAAAAACTTTGCTATCTAAGTATAAAAAAAGAACTGCCTCACATATGATATGATTTACAATTAAATTGCTCTCTGGTAAGGATTACTTATTTTATAAACCTAAAGAATAACAAATAGTAAAGATGGGCTTTGGAAAGTATCCATGACCTTCGACCCCAGCAAACTAAGGTTGTGTTCTAGTTCCTCAGAGACCATGGCCCCCATTCTGTGGTACATCCACAGTGACATTTGATCAACGTAGGCACTGTCTGACCCTGCTCTCCAAATGAGCATAATTATACTACCTCACAGCCAAGCTTCACTGTACTGATAGAACTAGTAGGCTAATGCAGCATCTACGGATCCCTCTCACATTGGTGGTCTTTAGAAAGTAGCTATTTGCTTGTTTTTTTATAATTAATTCAGTTATTATAAAAATATTAGCTAAGATTAAACACACACACACACACATTGCTCATTACCTTGGGAACACAGCCCACCAAAAGCTAATTTCCTGTTGAGGAAGACTGAGTAACCCTGATTGACCTCCAGATATTCCCATTACCATGGCCTAATGTTGAAGAGGAGAGCAGACTTATTGAGCTAGCTACCTCAGCCTCAGCTGGAGCTGCAGCCATCACAGCCAACCACTGATTCACGAGCCAAACATACCTCCTCTTTTAATTATTATGTATTTATTTCCCAAACAAATC